ACAGAACCAAATTGCGTAGTATCTTCAATTTTGAAAGACATTTAGCAGAGGGTTCTGGTCAGAATTCTGAATAGATAGCAATTTGTGGGGTCCTTAATGCCCTCTGAACTTGGTTGTTTCAAGCTCTGCAAGCACTAAGAACCCCACAGTTCAATCCTGAGCTATAAATATTCTCTGCCATAGGTAGCAACTTAGTGGTCCTGATGAACAGTTTTGTCTGGTGATTGAAAGGGAATATGAACCTGTTTGGATTAGATTCTGAGTCACATTTGATTTAATGAAATCATCAGATCATTTTGGGAGAGTTGGTTCAGTGTCTGGCCGTGGAGCTTCATGCTATTTTTAAAAGTGCATTTCTACAGTTGACCAAAATGCAATTGATGATGGTGATCATTACTTTCAGTTCTATTTTAGCCTTACTTTTCTTTTCACATGGGAATTCCTGGTTCTTTAACATTTTGCCTTCTCTATTGGCATTTCCAAAACTTTACAAATACTTTGGAAAGTGGACAGTATAATCCATGGGATTTATTCCCAGTTAGGTTGACGTAGAATTACAACCTGTATTTTGCTATTATTTTAAGGAACATTAATGGACAAATCTTATGTATAAGATGACTAGCAGAACAGAAATAAGAGGCTAATGATTCTTGCATCTCATCTTCCCCTCCTGGCACATTTTGGGCAGAATATATATTTGTGTGGGATATAGATTAATTTCCTGTTGAAAATAAACTATTGTTAATTCTTTGATGTTTGAGAACTCGACTTTCCAACTTATAAAACAAAACACTATATCTAATGGGTGAAATATTATGCTAGTATTATAAATGTATAAGTGACTAATGGAAGCTGTACATTTATCACAAAATGGCAGTAAATCTAAAGAGAGAAAATTGGATAAAGTGGCTTGCTCCAACTTTTAAAAATTATTATTTTTAATGTATTGAATTTCTTGCCTTATATTTTAGGGGTGGCTTACTATAATTACAATGCAGAAAAAATGCCTACCAAATGTTATCATTCAGATACAATGGTGCAATGATTTCCCCTTAAGATAGTGACTTTTTATCTACAACCTCTATTAAAATGCTGCAGAATGACTTAGAAGGAAACCGAAGTGTGAGGAAAAATTAGGATGGAAGAGGACTAATATTACTTTCAAAAGTTATCTACCGTATATGCCGGTGTATTAGGCGACCTGGCGTATAAGACGACCCCCGTCTTTATAGCCGGGCCGCATTCCTAGAACGTCATCTTATACGTCAGAAACTACCAGTATTTCCGGCGTATAAGACGACTCGGCGTATAAGACGACCCCCGTCTTTGGCGCCGATTTCAGCGCTCGCGGAAGTCGTTTTATACGCCGGCATTTACGGTAGATGTGTCTTGGAAGTTTAACAGAAACAAGGCAGTATTTCCTGCTTGAAGAAAAGAAAATAATCCAGACTTTCCATAAGAATTGGATTTTTTTTTTTTTAGGAAAGCCAATAAGCAGCCAATTTAGTGATTCACCTGACTTTGTGCTCTCTGTTCTTGAATGTAGGAGGGAATGAAGAAACTTGCAATCCTTAAGGAAGCAGCATGTAACCAGACTGTTGAGGATTTCCTTCTCTATTTTCTTTTTTTCCATTTTTAAAGCACAAATATAATTTTGCTTTCAGGTTTTGTGTATTTTACATGTAACGTGGATTTCAAAAATGAAGGCAGGTATAGCTGCATAATAAAGGCCCCTTCACACATTCAGGTTGCAGTTTGCCAATGTTTGCACTGTGGGAATGTTTAGCTATTATCTGCCACTTGCCTGGATGCCTAGAGCAGGGGTCCCCAACCTGTGGGCTGTGGCTCACTACCCCACTCACGCTAGCGCCGCTGCTGCTATGCAAACAGGGTGCTGTGCGGCAAAAACAGGGCATCACACAGCAAAAATGGGGCTTTGCTAGCGAGTGTCATGTGGGCACTAGCACCTCCCCGTTTGCGTCGTGCATGCTCACGATCCCATTTGTGTGTGTGCAAACAAGTAGGTGTAAAATGCTTCCCCCTCCCTTTCCCTCCAGTCCACCAACCGATAAAGGTTGGAGACCTTTGGCCTAGAGGACCAAACTTAACTTGACAAATTCATTTATGCTGTTCATATATAAAACACGGTGAGGCTAGACTGAAAATATAAACCATTGTTGCTATCATTAGTTTTGGTTTGGGCCAACTCCCAAAGATATTTATGTGGTATACATATTTGTCATATTCATACTGTAGATTTTTAAAGTGTACACTTTAAATACTACTAAAAGTTGTGCTTAGATTGTTTAACTAATATTAGCATCTTGTACATGGAATAGTCTTTCCAGGAAAAGTGGGGGGGGGATAGTGTTTTTATTTATATCTTTACTTGTCTACCAAATGCAGTTCTCAGAGTGGCTAACAATAACAATAATTATGCAGATAAAAAGAACTGTAATGAAAATGTTAAACTCTATTAAAACATAAACTAAAACATCTCAGTATAACAGAAAAAAATGATTCTAATATCTTTTTGGTATCAAGTGAACACTTTTCCAGAATGTAGCAATAACTGTCTTGTTGCACCTTGAAGAGCAATATATTTTTTGTGCCATCTAGGTTTTTGTGAGCCAGTTACATTTAATCAAGTGTACAAATTATTAATTTTCAGTAGCATGGCATTATACAAAAGAGAATAATTTTTATTACTCATATTCTGTATCTGAATTGGACTGTTGTTTTTCTCCTTTGGTTTATATTTGCATTTGCTAGAATTTTATTATTTTTATTTATTGTAATGCCATTCTGAGACTATTTTTATTGAAAAACAGTTGTTATTCATGTTATAAATGAATAATGTAGTCCTTTTGTCATTAAAACTAGCATTTTTCTGGCTGATATGCCAAGATTTTACTATGAGATAGTTGTTACTAAGCTGTAGTTATATGATCTTTGTTCATAAATAATTCTTGTCAAAGTATCCTTTTGTTTTCTGTTCTTTATTTTTCATTTTGTACAGGTTCTGCATGTAAAGCTAGTAGTTCAACAAATTGCTTTATATTTGAGTTTTACATCCTTTGCAATTGGGCTTCATGCCAAAGTTAAGTATAGAAGCTGCTTTGGCTGTCCTTGTGGATGACTTGTGGAGTAGAGATTGCAATCCTGGTCCTCTTTGAACTCTCAGGGGCTGTCAGGATTACTGACCCTGGCATTCTTCTGGGCTGCCTCTGAGTGATTGACGGGGATGGGCGTGGTTTCACATTGGTTCTCTGCCATTGTGAGAGGGCAATTCTAGTTGGTGGTAGTGAGGAAAGGATAGATCTGACCATCTACTTTGTGGACTACCTATGAAGTTTGTTGTAACAGAACTTTTCTACATGAAACCACCAGGAAGCTAATCAGTTTTCGGGAGGCCTGATTTGGTCAGTATTGTCCTTGGGCCAATCAGATAACACAGTATTTATTTATTTATCTATGCAGCTGCCCATCTTGTGATGACACTGAACAGCTAATAATGGCTAAACAAAGACATAAATGAAAGTAAGAAAGTGTGTATGTGTGTGTGTGTGCGCGCGCACACACACACACAGACTCCTTCTCTTGTGTGACACCCGTTCAGTCCTCAGTCTCCCCTCATTCATTTCCTTTAAGAGCTGGCCTTTCCAGATAGCTTATACATGCTCATGCACACATATATGAAGTAAGACTACAGTATCTTTGCTTCATTTGTTTGAAATAACCTCCCCTTGGAAATGTGAATGGTCCCCTTTCTGTTGGTGTACAGGAATGCTATTAACACAGTAGAATGTTTTTATATGTCACATGGATTATGGATGCTGGAGTTGGTTCATAGTTTAATTAGTATTAATTTTATGTATTTGTTTTATGAATATTTTTATTTTAATGATGTCAGGTACCAGGAATCATTTCGAAGTATTCTGGTATACAAAGAAGAAAACAAATACAAGTTGTGCCAGGCAGGAAATTTACAACAGGTCATTGGAAGATCAGAATGTTTATTATACATTTCTTAACTCAAAGCAAATGTTGATAATGTAATAGGCTTGAATTATAGAATGTTTTGCATGAAAATGGGATTGAATGCTGGTTGTTGAATGCTGTAAATGGTATACAATTGAACTGAAGCATTCCTGAAAATAAGTGGAATATTTATTGAGCTAGGAATCAGGAAGAATATGTGATGTCCCCTTAGTAGTTCAGTACATTTGTAAATAAAATAAAGTAAAATACAAACAGAATCTTCAATAAAAAAAATTTGATCTGGTATGTTAATATATCAGTACACATATGCAGTATGTAGCAGATTCATTAAAAGAAAAAAATGGCTGTGTAAAAGAGGGTGCTTCTGCCTATTTTGTTAAATACTAATGAAAATTTGGTACTTCAATGGAAAAATAAGAGTTCAATGCAGTGGAGATGGGGCACTCATAAAGTATCCAGAATAAATGGACGCTGGTTGAATATGGTTTGGAAACAGAAGTTATTCATTAGTGAAGATAAAGTAGGTTGAGAAGGTTTGACCTTAAGAATGAATAAGGGAGTGAATTCCAACACAAATAAATGAAAGAAGACTGAATTGGTTAAAAGTATGAAGAAAGCAGACATTGGTTAGAGTTGAAGGGATTGTTAAAAAAAGAGAGGTAAGAAGTTTAAAGAACAAAAGGTAATGTATGGATTCAATGAGACCAATGACAGAACAATACAGAGAGTTACAGTGAGGTATTTTGGTGTAAAATATTAAAACTGTGTTTTCTCCTTTTTTCTTATATTTTGGTCTTTAATTTCTTTTTTACTACTATTTCTTATTCTTTTATCTGTGCTCTGCATAAAAATTGCTGAAAGTAAAAGAGTATATAGCATGTTGGATCTGTATATTCACCTATATGTACTGTATAGTATTTTCAAAATAAGAGGATTGAGTTTTTTTCTGCTCTGTATCAAGAACCTAACATTTTTTCACTCTTTTTGTTTGTTTGTAGGCTAAGGCCCTTGATTTCAACCCAGCTAGCCAAAAAGCCGGCCACGGAAGAGGTATGGTATTGATCTGAACATTATTTCATTCTCAGAATCAACTTCAGCCTTATGCTAAGCATATTCTAGAGCAGAAGGGCAGAGTTCCATGCAGTCTCAGGTTTAGCCTTTAGAATAAATTCAGAGGTTTGTTGCTGAAGCATGTTTTTTAATATAACAGAAGAAAAACATAATTAAATGTATGTAATATTATATTCGTATTAGTGACTTTGATGAATTTTAGGAGCCTTGGTGGCACAGTGGTTAGAATGCAGAATTTCAGGCTAACTCTGCCCACAGCCTAGAGTTCAATCCTGATGGGGCTCAAGGTTGACTCAGCCTTCCCTCCTTCCAGGTTCGGTAAAATGATGCAATAGTCTTGACTCTCTAAACTGCTTAGAGAGGGCTGTAAAGCACAACGGGGAAGTATGTAAGTCTAAGTGCTATTGCTATTGAGCTGAAACTTAAATTTATTTTCCTGGCCATAACAAGTTCTTAATCCTAGCTACACTCAATCTTTGGACTCTGGCTTTTGGCACAAAACTCAGAACCAACTTTAACACTATCCCAAAGCAGCTCTGAGTAAGCAAGAAACCTCTCTCTTCCCTCCGCCCCCAATGATAAGTACATATTGTATGTTGCTGTGTCAGTTATCCCTTCCCCAGTATTCATCTATACACTCCTTCCTTGTTTTGAATGCCTGCTAGTTAATTTGCTTAATGAGTAAACATGTACCACATAGCCTATCGGGTGCTTCAGCGAACACATGTTCTCACAAGTTTAAAAGCTAGGTATCATTTGAGTTATCTTTGGAAAATGATTTAGGAAATTTTGTTGAAAGATATCTTTGGTAGTTTAAAAATGACTAAAAATGCTTATTTCTGCTGCAACCAATACCTCCAGAACAGTTTTTGCTTTTACTGATTAGAAACCTTATCTCAACTTTCGTGCTGTTCTCATTAGAAAAACTTGCACATTTGTAGAATGCACACATTTGGAAAATGGATATGATAATCATCAGAAGGTCATGTTTTAATTAAGGCTGTGCACATTTTAAAATAATAGTTCAATTGTAGCTTCTTTAAATCCAGCTATTCTTCTGTGAAAACATATAAGAAGAATGAAAATTCTTGCATGACAATTAATATAAATTGGAATATTGCTACTCCTGCATCAATTTCTCCTGGGTTTCCTATATGCTGTATGCAATTCTTGAGTTCTGTCACTTTTCTGGCAATTACAGTCAGTGATAGATATTATAGTTCAACTTATGTGATACCAGCTTGGGGAAGGCTATTCTAGTTCTCATATTAGCTTTTTGATGGCAGATCAAATCACATCTCAGTTTTAAATGGCTAGTGATACGATTAGTCTGGATTTTGTTATACACTATCTTTTTTCTTTTTATGTATCTATTTATAGAATATATTTTGGGGCTAATGACATTAAACCAAAAATATAGGATAATGTAACAAACATATCACAACACAGTAAAATATAAATTAATTTAATTAAGCAACATTAGACAGACCAGCAAATCACCCAATCAATTGCTTCCAAATAATCTTTAGAATTACACAATTTTGGAATGGAAAGTGTAATGGAAGTAAGAGCAGAGCAAATGGTTGAAGAAGTCTGACAAAATATGGATTCTTCTTGGAAAAGACTTTGTTTTGGGTGAATCCCAGTCAGCAACTGCAGTCTGAGATTCATTCTCATGATATTATATTTTCTGTAAAGGAAATCAATTAATAGCCTCCAGACCAGGGGTGTCAAACTGCCGGCCCATGGGCCGATTTCATCATTCTGAAGCCGTGCCTACCCCATTGCTGGCAATGCAAAAAGAATCGTGACATGGCGAGTTTGACACCCGTGCTGTAGACTGACGAAGTGACATACTTCATGATTATTTAAAGGTAATTTCTTATGATAACATATTAAATGTATCCAAAAGTTATAGCAATAGCCTTTGCCACATTTTGATTTAAATTCTGTAGTTGGAACATGGAACTACTAGTAAACTAATAGTGGTTGCATGTCACTATTTTGAACTGGTATCTCTCCCCTTCCTCAAAATGGCTTATTCCTCAGTCTGATGATGGAAGACAACAGTAATCTTATTCTATTTATGCAACCTTTTGTTAAATTATAGACTACTTTTAAGTACTATTGTTGTATAGAGCAATTAACAATAGAAGCTATTTATTTCAAAGTATAAGTAGTATCTGTGTCTTCATTAGAATCTGTTGGTTGTTAAATATATCTTTTTCTCTTGATATTGATGGTGTGCAATAGTTGTGGAGCTCCAGAAACCATACACAGTCTTGATTCTTGTGGAGGAAACTCACAGTTGATGTCAGAATCTGCTTGCAAATTTTTCCTTCATTTCTGCATCATTTTTTTTTTTTTGAGGAAGGTTTTAAGTTTTGCTCATTAGCAAAACTGTTGGTAGTAGAGATTCTTTTGAACAATGTGATGTACCTCAGCAATGTTTTGTTGATTTCCAAATTGCTGGCATTGTATAACAATTTAATGTAGACTGAGTTGCTTTGAACATAAAAAGATTATTTGTACAATATGTTTACTCTAAAGATATCAAGCCAGATGTTGAACTAAAATATTAATCATATGTGACTGTTGGCTGGAATTGAAGGTTAACATATTCTGCATTTTCTTTTACATTAGTTGATGCTCTTTTCATCAAGTGGTTTGCCAGTTGGTTTCAATTGCCATTCTAATTGAAATATGGCTTTCCAAAATCACAGGCAAAATTCTTTCCTAGTCCTATTTTCTAAGAACTTTTGATACCATGAATTTTACTTGAGATGTTTTGCATTCAAAGCATGCATTGTTCCATTGAAAAGAGGCCCTTCTAATTAAACAGTTTGATGCAAAATTGCATAATGAGTTATTGATTCTCTTTCTAATTACAGCTGAATATTATCTAATTCATTAGAAGTTATGCATATCATTTTTAATATTCGGCTTATATAAAGGAGATTTCTTGCGTCAGATTGCTTTGGCTAAAGCTAAATTTTTACAGAGAATAAAAGTGGTTCGCTTTCTTGCATGTTTAGTTATCTTCATACCATTGTAGCCATGTTTTAAAATATCGGAATAACAAACAACAGTAATATTCCTCGAGAAACCTATAATAGCCTTCTTGCATTTAATGTATCTCCAAATGTGTTGAATTACAGTTGCTATCATCTTTCAGCCATATGGTTGTAGCTATTTTGACTTGAGTTAGAATGGAGTTTATTATCCTCTACATTTAGTTGGCACAAGCTTGCAGAAGCCTGGAATATCACTTTCTTCGGTTGAAGCTTTGATAGAATGACAATTAAAATGAGCAAAACAAGTTCTTAGTTGGATTTTTTAAGGGAAAGGGTGCCAGGTGAGGATTTTAAAAAAATAACTTTTCTTCCTTTATAGGCTGTCTTTCCAAGTACTCAGACAGAAACTGAAAAGGTTGAAAAATCAGGAACTGTGCTGGTGGAAACTGGTCCAGTATCTTATAATCATGAGGAGGATGTGGAAGAAGAAGAAATTGAAGAGGAAGAGGATCATTGTGTTAGCGCCCTTAAACTAATGGGAGGAAACGGTAGGCTGTTTTATGTATCTGAAGACCCCCCATAACAAAGAGAATCCCCACTCCCCAAAGAATCTATAATGGTGTCTCACATGAAAATATCTTTGTGTAGCTGCTTCTTTTTTGTTTCTTGCCAGCAAATTAATAGAAAGATTCTGTGGGTCAAATTTATTTATTTAGTTTTATTTATCATATTTAACAATTGGAACGACAGTGGAAGGGAGGCAGGTTTTGTTTTATAGAACTTGCCTGACAGATGTTTTGGAATGTAGAATATGAACTTTTGGTTTCTGTCCTTAAGTCAGTACTCCAGATGACTTTTAAAAGTTAATTAATTGAACAAGGATATGTATATTATCAATTAACATTTAATGCTTTCTAATAAACTGATTATAGTTTCTGGTTTCCAAGCATAAATAGCAATCATAAAAGTTCCTCCCAAAGCCAGTAAATAATATTCAATAAGGAGAACTAGTAGTTTGAACTACAATATGATTGTGTATTAAAGCTTTCATTGTAGCATAAATCTGTACATATAGCCAGTGCCTTGATGTGGAATATACTAATTGTGAGGTCTGACAGTATCATGGGGAGATGGCTGAGTGGAGTGCTGATTATTTACTGTGTAAGTTTCAAAATACTTTTAATTTATCAGTGGATACTGATTTCAAGTTTTGTGCAGGAACTATAGAATAATCATAACAGATTGGCTTGATTTGAGTGGAATGAAAATACGTAAACTGTTGGGAACTCTTTTTCCTGTAGCATATACAAATATAATTGCATTAGCAAAACACTCTGCCCTACGGCATGGCTGGCTGAGGAATTCTGGGAGTTGAAGTCCACAAGTCATAAAGTGCCCTACGGTATATATGCATGTCTGTATTTGCTGCAAGAAAGTAGTTCAGTTTCAAGTCCCGCAGCATGGCCAGTCACCCCAATACAGAGACCCTATCACCTTGCACTTCACCAGCCCTGCAACTCTGAGCTGATTTCATATTTTTTCTCCAGGTGCTGCTCTTTGAAAGGTAGCTACTGGCTGCACAAGGCTTTCTCCAAGTCGTGTATGTCCTTCTGTAAGTTCTGTGAGGCCTTCTGAAGCCTCATGGGATGGTCATGCGCAGCCTCAGGAAGAAGGCCTTGCACAGCCAGCATCAGCCTTGTGAAGGATCCAGCTGAGTGCACCTCATCAGCAGGAAAAAGAAGATGTTAAAGTTCAGTTGGTGGAATCAGGGCAGCAAAAGCAGCAGAATGTAGGGTGGCCAAAAGGGCAGAGATGGGGGGGGGAGATGGGTAGGAGGAGTTGAAGCATTTCTGTAGTTATAGGGCCGTGGTGGCGAACCTATGGCACACATGCCACAGGTGCATGGAGAGCCCTCTCTGTGGGCATGCGCGCTGTCGCCCGAGTCCTAGGCCTTCAGCTGGGTTTTATAAACCCTGCCATGTACAAAAAAAAAAGGCTCAATCAATCAATTTCAACTTCTCGCAGGAAAAAAAAGATCTTGCAAAGTTGGAATTGATTGATTGAACTTTTTAGTCTCATCCAGTTTGCCGTTACCACCATAGCCACACCCATCCAATTGTCCACACCCACCCAATTGGCCACATTCACCCAATGGGCCACGCCCACCCGGCACCTGACGATACATAAATGGGCTTTGGGTTGCAGTTTGGGCACTCGGTCTCTAAAAGGTTTGCCATCGCTGTTATAGGGTAAGTGGGCTTCCAAGTGCCCAAATTTTGATCCGGTAACTGAAGGGCACTGCAACCGCTGTAACTTTGGGAATAATTTTATGAAAAAGAGCTTCTAAAGTAGGTAGGTAGGATTAACTTTTGTAAGATTGCATAGAAAAATCTGAGAAGTTAATGACCAGGATACTTATCAATTAGTTATCATAAATATTCCTAATAAAACCTTTTCTTAGAACCCTTTATATACCTTTAAGATATTTGATACTTCACAAGTTATAATAGTTTATTCACTTGATGACTTAGCTGACCCACTTTTGAGCTTTGGTTCTTTTAAAGTGCTTTAGTTGACTACATTTCTATTTTATTTTTTTGTAGGCTTTATACTTTCCTGTTTATTTGTTTATTATGCTGGTAGGGACTATTTCTGTGCCCTGAGTGAACTGTCTAGCTTGTGGTAGACTATCTTGTGATGCTACTGCTTCTAATAATTTCCCATCCTTTGTTTTTAGATTATGGCTGTGATATGGAAGATGATGATGGATATTAAACCTTTCTGTCTCCAAATGGAAATTGTGGGAGAAGCCACTAGTAGTAAAAACAACTTTTCCTGCCTTGGAAACAAAAGTTCTGTTTGCAGTGGATTCCTGTCAGTTTTCTTTGACCTACAGGCAGGCACTGCAGCTTGGCTTTAGAATACTTGAAATGTTTCTGATTTGGATCATGATATAAGAAAAAGATTAACTGAAGCAACAGTTCCAGAGATGAAAGAATAGCCAAATGGCTGCCCAAGCATCCTTTGGACTTACCATGTACTGGATTCAATAATATACATTGCTGTAAGAATGTGTACAAAGAAGAAGAATTGTTACAGAATGCTAGACTTTTGTGTGAATATATTTGCGACTTGAACATTTTTGAGTTGTACTGTTTACATCAATAGGATTCTCAACAGCAGAAGCTTGTTCCTGCTATAACATCCATGTCTTCATGCTTCAGAAGTGGTAAAACATATCAAAATGGGCAGACAACTTCCTTTGGAAACAAGTTAAAATGTATTGTTTGTTTGTTTGTTTGTTTGTTTGTTAATACCATCCTAGGATCAGACCATTGCTTGCCTGTCAACTCTATGCCAGTGTAAGACAAAAAAGTTGCTTTATTAGAGTGGAGACCTCATGGGTGTTGGTGTTGTTCAAAGCTTCTTTGCAAGGCGAGTTATTGTGTGTTCCAAGAACATTAAGCTGGGTCTTCCTTTACACCAGGGGTGTCAAACTGCTGGCCTGCAGGCCGGATGCATCATAGCAAAACCGCGCCCACCCCATTGCTGGCACTGGGAAAAAAATTGCGATATGTCACGACACCCTTGCTTTACACTCACTGCTACTATTAGAGATGAGGCAAGCAAAGGCTAGGCTGATAACAGAAGGAAGGAAAGCTCAATAGATTAACATCTGACACTCTTCTTTTTTCTGACTGAGGACCATTTCACAAGTTTTCTGTGCCCCATCCCAGGTTTTATTTTTTAATTTTAAAAACAAGATGATATCTCAGGGCAATTTCTGTCCTCTTGTCAGAAGTGTCAGATTTCTCTCCAAGGTAATGCCTTTGTTTTGTTTTGTTAAGCAAGTAGTTTGAAGTATTTTTTTTCTGTTTGATGTAAAGTAATTTTCTATTATGTAATGATGTCATTAAGGATATATTTATAGCTCAACAGTGCAAAAGGCTCATTTATCATTACTTTAACCAGTTAATCAGTTGGTATAACTAGTATCCTGAAAAATGTAAAACAGACTAGTAGTTTCCCCACCTAAATTGTGTAAGACAGATTTTTCTTGATTCTCATCCTCCCCGGACTATAAGTTAGCTCTGCCCAGTTTTCATGTTGATCTTTATTAGCCAAACTACCTCTTTTTGCCAATGTTAACTGTACCGACTCAAGGTGGGATGATGTTTTTATTTCATCCACTTGAAGACTAAAGTGGAAACTATTTTTTTCCTTTGTTTCCAAGGCCAGGATCTCAAATGGCAAACTGTGTCTTAATTATATTGCTTTAGTTTGCAAATTGGAATTCCCATGAGGAAATGGCATTCCATGCAAATGATCCTTTCCAGATAGGCAACTTAGCATAGTAGAGAAAAATGCTGGCATTTTTTTTTTACACAAAGAAGCTTTCAATCAATGACACTTCACACTTAGACTGGCACACTCTATGCTTGCAGTCTGAAATAGTTTGGGCCAGGTACAGATTTATCACTTTATTAAATTAATCTCAAGGTGCTGGTTAAAGGTTAGCAATATGTTCAGTAAGGAGAATATGGCTAGTCCAGTTAGCTATTCCTGTGTGAGGGCCATTTATCTTGGCACTGAATTACAATATTAGTACTTGTAAAATTACAACTCTTTTTTTCAATAGTACTTTGTCCAGTTTTACTCTGAAAAAGATTGTTATGGTAACATAATTTATTCATTGCTAGAGGAACAAGCAAAACAAATGATTTTTTGTAAGCACTGAATTAGGAGTTTGCCAACAATTAGCTTGAGCAGCTGCTGCTTTGCCTTATGGCAGGGATGAGAAACCTGTACCCCTCCAGAAGTTGCTGAACTACAACTTTTGGCAGTCCCAGCCAGCATAGCCAATGACGAGGGATGCTGGAGGCTGTCATCCAACACCATCTGGAGGACCATAGGTTTTGCATCTCTGCCTCATAAGTTCATTTGTTTCTAAAGAGATGTTCCAAAAGAGGTAAAACTTCTGGTCAGTGACTTTATCTCCTCACTGCATTGGAAAAAATGAAAGTCTCTCTATCAGACTTCTTAGAAGAGAAATTGCTACTGCGTCAAAAGTATTATGTTGGCAGAAGAAAAAAATACACATATGAAATCCATAATTTTGGAATCAGATGTAACTTAATAATGTTTGTATTCCAGATCAATTTCATAATAACCACATCAGACACCCAACTGTACCTATGTGGTTGGGTTCTCTATGCAGCTTGGCAAGTTTCTTTTTTGGGTGTACTTCCTCATAGCACAGGTTGATGGAGTTAGGTATGCATTGATGGAGTTAGGTATGCATTGTAACCAGTTAAATTACAGATCTGGACTGCAAGTTACAAAACTGGAAGGGGTGGGCAGGGGCATCATGGACAAACATGCAATGGACACTTCTTAATCAGAGTCTGAGTGGATCAGGGTTGGCCATCATTGTATCCTCACGTAAGCATTTTTATTCTTGTTGAAAATAAGCTACAAAAAAGTAGAATTGGGAGTTCTTGTAGGGGCTTGTAATATTAAACCAATTATCCTATTTAATTTTCTAATAAAAATGCTGTTTCAAGGAATGTTTATATATATATGCTTGTTTCAATTTGTTCTTGGAAGCCAGATTTTCCTTTTGCATCATTGTTCTATTCTATAGCTGTCTTAAAGTCCAAGCCTCTCATCCTATGTTTTGGAAAGATAAAGAAATGAGAGAGCCAAGAATTGATCTTAAATAGTTTTGCCCATTGCATACTAGCATAATTGTTCAGCTGCATGATTTTCCTAAACTGAGCCAATCAATAATATTTATTCAGTCAATGACCAGCAAAAATTTAAAAGAACAAAAACAGTGAAGCAAATAAATACAATAATATACAATAATAACTCACAGAATAAATCTGTAAAATTCTGACATGAGCATTCATTATCTCATGTTTTCACTCATCAGATTTAAATGTAACATGCGGCGCTTTTGCTGAAAAATGACAGAATAGGTAAAAGTATGTAGTTGAGAGAGAATGCATTTTTGTAACTTAAATATGTGTTTACAGGAAAAGCAACCCTATTCTGAATTTCATCCACTATCCGCTGTTTGTCCACAAATAGCATTTTAATGCTGGGTCTAATAGAGGGAGCAGTGTTGTAGCTCCTACACATACAAAAGTGAGAAGGTGGCTTTGGAAGCATTGCATTCCATTGTGCCATTCAATTTGGAGTTGATGCTGATTTCTATCCTTTCTGTTTGTTCTATCCTTCCATGTATAGGCTTCACAAAGACTGGAATTGTTGTAATACCTTCTTACCCCCTATCCTCAAGCATAATTTTCCCAAGAAGAACGAAGAAAGGGAGAAACAGCACTAAGAATCCATTTATTTGAGGATGTGGCCTGATAACTTTTGTTTAAAGCATTTTTGTTGTGCTGGAACTACACTCTTACTGCCTCCCAAATTAGTTTCCGAGTAGAGCTACCAGATCTAGGGTGCAAAAAATTGGAAAATGACAAGAGGCAGGAGTTTTTTTTGTCTCTTTGTAACTACCATTTGGTTGTTTAGATGTTTGCCCAGACAGGATAATCCTATATTTGTAGATCAAACTTTTGAGAGCCAGTTTGGCCTAGCCTAGTGGTTAAGACATCACTTCACTCTAGAAAATGGGAGACATGATTTCAAGTCTGATGTTAGCATGAAAGCCTGCTGGGTGACTGGGGCCTGCCGGGTCACTCTCTCTCAGCCCAAACCTCTTTACAGGTTTGTTATGGGGAAAATAGGAGGAAGGTGTGTTGGATATGTTCAGCACCATGAACGATTTGTAATATAATAAAGATGAGATAGAAGTAAATAAATTAAATAAACGCAATATTTTCATTTGCTATTTGTATGCAGTACATTGCACAAATTATCGCTATTGTGAAATCAAACATTTAATGATTGGTATTTTAGGCAAGGAACAGAGCTGAACCTTTTCTTTTTTGTAGAGATCCTAATGCAAATCACTTCTTTAAGCTCTTATTGCCATTTGAGAGAGACCTTCACTAACACTTTTAGGACTTTTCTTTCCAGTGTAAATAACAGCTCTGGAATAGTGGATTTTCATCAAGATTGTAGTAAGGAAAAGAGTTAGATTCCCCTTTCTGTCCCCAGCCATCTGAATCAGCTCCTTTTCGCCCTTTCCAACGAACTACTATTCTGTGTTTTTAAAAAGTAACCAAAATGTCTTTAATCTCCTATCTATTTTTGTCTTAAATTCAGTTCTTTTGTCAACGCTGCAAATATTGTATATTCTTGCTTTTGACAATATGCAGAATTATCTGGTAAATATGGGGTTAATAAAGAGCAGAAGGGGCGTTGTGGGTAAAGCCCAGAAAGAAAGAGGAAGAAAACATTTGACCTTCACACTAATTGGATAGTGTGAGATATGATGGCTAATTTAGGGAGGGAACATGCTGATAATTTTACTGCTCAGAGGAAGAGAACTTAGATCCTAGCATCCCCCTGTTGTGCCTGTGCCGACATTTTGTAACAATAAAAGACTTTTAGGAAAATAAATGCCTGGAAGTTCTTTGGAATGTTTCATTAGCTGGAACCACAACATCTTTTTTTATATATATAAACTGGAGATAATCAACAGGTCACAAGAAGGCTGCCAGTTCAACTCCCATTAGATTCATCCAGTCATATAATGGAAGATGTACTGTATACTGAAGATGGTTGCTTCATGTGGCCATGCTCTCCGTGTATGTATATGTGTGTATGTGTTTTTGCTGTTTTTGCTTCCAACTACATATTTGGGGAGTAGACCATTGTCCTCTGAAGGCAGAAAAATATTTGAATTTACAGTTGCATATTTAAGGCCTTTCCAACCTGCATCAAAGTTTATGATTCATTTAATTTCATAAGGTCTTTTTTCCATAATTCATTTCTCTTTGATATAATTAAAGCTCAGGGATTACACATGGATAAGCAGATGCCACTTTCTGATTCTGTGCTTGCTTAGGCAAAAAACAAAAACACGAAAAGGCAAGTGGTACGGTTAACCTTCACCTGCCACTGTGATATTATGCTGAAACATTTTGTGGAATTCCCTTGAAGTAATTTGGACTATAGTTTCATTTCAGATGAAATGTAGGAGTTCAGGGACTGTTGGTTTTAAATTGTGAAACGTGTTATTTTTTCCTCCCTAGTACCATACACATGTTTAAGGCATTTAATTAGGCAAAATATCCCAGCTGTTGAGTTGTGCTTTTGCACTTTATAATCTTCATTCTTCTGTCACTGAGTCTCCTTAATTTTTCTGTGATCTGGCAGCTCAGCCAACATACAGGTGGTGAACCAGGTGATTGCTGCATATGCCTGTTTGTAGCAAGCCCCCCCCCCCCGTCAGCATTTTGAGAAGGATGACTTCCTGGAACCCTGGCCTTCATATAAATCAGTGTTTCTCAACCTTGGCCATTTTAATATATGTGGACTTCAGCTCCCAGAATTCCCTAGCCAGCCATGCTGGCTGGGGAATTTTGGGAGTTGAAGTCCACACATCTTAAAATGGCCAAGGTTGAGAAACACTGATATAAATGGATATCTGTACACAACCACCTAGTTAAGGCTAAATTGTCTGCCATGCGGATAATGACGGCACCCCAGGAAAATGGAAATCTAGGGTTTAGCAAATAGCACAGAAAGGACAAATGTAGGTTATGGCTCAAACATTTGTAGGTATTTAAATCTGTATCTCAAACATTCACATTTGGTATCTTATCTCCATCCTACATGCTATTTTTCATGGAAGTTACATTCTTCAGTACAGAAAGCTTTAAGCAGGAACACATAGCACTGATATTCATACTGTATTTTTTGCATTCTGTTTAGATTGTGTGGGAGTTCATCATTTCATGCTGTTTTATCAAATGTTCATTGAAAAATACATGTATTACGCTTGCTGTCATTTACAAGGCCATTGTATTTATATATATGTAACAGGGCTAGCCAAAAGGCTTTGCGGGAGCCTGACCAGAGAGAGGGAAGTGGGAAGCTCAGACAGCTGCTGCTGGTTTGGACACGGTGGGTGTGGATTGGGTGGAAGGAAAGAAAAGGGGAAGGAGAAAGGGGGGTGCGGTGGTTGTTGTCGGGGAGCCAAAGAGGAGTTTGGGAAGGAGAGAGAGAGAAAGCGGAGTTTTATTGCTTTCTTCTGCAGGGGGATATCCTGAGCAAAGGGAAGAGTGAGAGTGAAAAGAGGGAAAGCTTGCTGGTGTTTTAAATCCAGGTTTTAACTAGAAAGGAAGGGTGGGATTTGGCATAGAGAGACCTGGAACTATGAGTGCCGGCAGAAGAGAAGGAGAGGCTGGTCGCTACTGCTTCGGAGACCAGCGGCCATCTGAACTTTGATCATTATTACCTGTGCAAGCTGTAGACTTTGTGGGGAGCTGCCCTCGTGGGGCAAGCTGTTGCTGTGGAGCGCTGACTAACTTCGCTCAGTTGCTGCCTGGAACTGGAGGGCCTCCCCCCCTGTTTTCCAAGCGGCTGCTACAAGCCATTGACTATTACTGTCACAACTGCCAGGGGGTTGATAAATACTGTCACACACTGACTGCCGTGGCTAGGCGTTGGCCATCTTTGTTCCTATAAACCTCTTTGCCAATGAGAACCTGCCATCCTTTCACTCCGCGTGACTTCCCGCTAAAAAGGACATTCTGTCAACTTGAGAGCACAGCTGCTGACATGACTGAAGGGGGGGGGTTAGGAGGGCCTGGGCTTTGGCGGCCTCTGAGGGAGTTACGCTACATATACAAATTCCAAACAATCAAAAAAGTTCTGTAGGCAGCCTAGATGGTTCCTGTGACTTACATCATGAACCACACTCCTATCCTTTATTTCACACAAATGCATTATTTATAGATATTTTAAGCCATATGTTACTACATGCTCTTGCAGATTCATCAATATTTTTTTAAAAAAACAAGCATTCTATTTGCTCCTCTCTTTCAAAGTAAGCAATGTTATACTGAATGCAGAAAATGCAGAAAAGAAGTAAGTAGACAAAGAAATTCAAGAAGTACAATAAGCAGAATGAAATAGGTAAAAATAAGTTATTTGATTTAGAAATAATTTATTTAATAAATCATTTAATAAATAAATTTGATTTCAAGATGTACAATAAATGTACAATTAAAAATAAATGAAATAGATTAAAATAAGTTACAGTACATCAACACCTTATCTACAATCTATCTAGCTTTCTAGATTTGAAAATTATCCTTGTTTCCATCACATTAATATGCATTTCATACAATTCCTTTTATCCTTTAAATTTTTTAGCTGTTGCAGAATCTCATAAATTCCAGTCAGCCTCAAATTAATCTTTTGATTATTTCTATGTGACAAAATCACTTCAATGCATTTTTTTTCATACTGATCACTTGCATTAGGTATCCATTCATTTGTAATGCTCTTCTTACTTTATAATGCATAAAATATATAATCCATTCCCACAGTATTCAGCTTCTGTTTTTCTTGATGTTCCCAACTCTCACTTTTATATATATATAAGGTCATGCCCAGGAAGACCTTTGCACAATTGTGCCTGTTGCTGGAT